ATTATCAGTTATCATGAAGATTTATGGCAAATGTTGCCGGGCGCTCCAAGGAGACATCAAAGTTAGAGGGTGGCCCCACAGCTCTCTCTGTGACCCTCGAAGCCATGTGTCTTAGATTTAAATAGTGCCTGGCGCGAAGTAGGGCCCGGGTTAAATTCCTGTTACTTTGATTTGTGTTTGCACCTCGCACTCTCCTCAATGTTTTCACAGATTTACTGCATTTAATTATCAATCAGTTTTTGCTTAATTAGATTCACGAAGTTAATTATATGAATTCCATTCTGATAATATTGCCCGACTCTGGATGTCAGATTCCCTTAGCAAATGGAGAGGAGAGGAGGCGTTTCTGCATTTTCCCGGTCAGGAGGCCGGCCGACCTGGAGTAATCAGCTTTCTTCAGCAACGTTTGCGGTTCTTGGAAGCTTGCCTCAGTGCTACTACCATTCTCTTGGTGTCTGCTCTAACATCAGGTTAGGAAAGGAACGAGCAGAGGGACGATGAGGAAGTACGAAAAGATGAGCTCTTCCCGGTGCATCTCCTTCTCTAGAGAGAGGGAGGTGAGTGGGGGCAGAGGGAGAGGGAGAATCTTAAGCAGTCTCCATGCCCAGTGCGGAGCCTGCTGTGGGGCTCGATCTCCTAACCCCGAGATCATGACCTGAGCTGAAATCAAGAGTCAGATGCTCCACCAGCCGAACCACTCAGGCGTCCCCACTTGGGCATATTATTTAGGAAGATGAAAACGTAAATTCCCTGTCTACAGCCCTGGCCTCTCCAGAAGGTTGTGAGTCAACCTAGTTCATAGGCGTGAAAGGCAGTTTAGGCTGCCTGGCGGGGGGACGGGTCAGGATCTAGGGAAGGCGGGATTTCAGTGCAGTGTCCCTGTCAGATGGCAGCCTCCAGGCGAGTGGAAAAGCACGGGAAGCTGCCTGGATGCCCCTGTGCGGCACCCCGCGTGTCACTACCCAGAGCCTTGGATGCTTAGATGAGACAAGTGTGTAGTGATTTCTGAGCAAAATCATTAATATGGAATCTATCTGGATTACTTTTAAACATACGGATATGGTTTTCGTCCTCAAGGGAGGTGCCGTGCATTTTTGTCCTTTGGATGAAAGATGCCATCGTGATAGAATTGTAGGGACATATGATCGCCATGGGTTGCTTCTGTTACCCCTGCTCCCTGAGAGACACATCGTGTCTCCTCGTTCCACACGCCAGCGTCTTCCAACTGCCCCTCTGCACTCAGACCTCTTCTTTTTTTTTTTTTTTTTTTTAAGATTTTATTTATTTATTTGACAGATGGCGATCACAAGTAGGCAGAGAGGCAGGCAGAGAGAGAGAGGAGGAAGAAGGCTCCCCGCCGAGCAGAGAGCCCGATGCGGGGCTCGATCCCATGACCCCGAGATCATGACCCGAGCTGAAGGCAGAGGCTTTAACCCACTGAGCCACCCAGGCGCCCCTCAGACCTCTTCTTGATTCACGTGCTCAGCTCCGTCCTGGACATCCCCCCCAGGGTGGCTCATAAACTCCAGGTTGTCAGATTTCAAACTTGAACACTTTGGAAGCTTCTCAACCGCTTTTATTTTTTTCCAGTTTTTGGAGGTATAATCGATGAATGAAATTGTAAGGTATTTAAAGTCTACAACGTGACAATTTGATACATGAGTGCGTTGTGAAAGAGCTACTACGTCCCCGTCCATCACACATCCATCACTGCACACGTTTGCCTTTTTTTTTTTTTGGTGAGAATATTGAAGTTCTACTCATCTTAGCAAATTCCAGTCTAAGACTGAACGCTCACTCGTCTCCCCAGACTGGTTTCACATGCATTCTTCCCATCCCCGTTGATGGCAACTCTATTTTCTGGTGGCTCAGGGCAAAACCCTTGTAGTCATTCTTTCTAGGTCTCTTTCGCACATGCCTGAATTCAATCCATCAGGAACCCTTACTGTCCCTATCTTTAAAGTAGATCTAGGGGCGCCTGGGTGGCTCAGTGGGTTAAGCCTCTGCCTTCGGCTCAGGTCATGATCTCAGGGTCCTGGGATAGAGCCCTGCATCAGGCTCTCTGCTCAGCGGTGAGACTGTTTCCCCCTCTCTGCCTGCTTCTCTGCCTACTTGTCATCTCTCTCTCTGTTAAATAAATAAATAAAATCTTTAAAAAATAAATAATAAAAATAGATCTAAAATCTGCCTCCTGTCCCCCACTCCTGTGACTCAGTCCCCAGTCTCAGTCCCCACTACCTCGTCCTGGAGGATGGCTCTAACCTTCCTGCTTCTCTCTACGTCTCTCGTATCGTCCTAGAGTCCAGTCCAACAGAGTGACCGTGACCCAGTTTGTCACCTTTTTTCTCCAGTGTTTTCTCGTTTCTCTTGGAACACTCAAAACCCTGGCGTGGCTTTCCAGGAACTACATCTATGTAACAAATCATTCCCAAACCCAATGACTTACAGCTGTTTGTTGTGTGTGCCCATTCTGTGAATCAGGCATTTAGGTCCAGAGAAGCCAAGATGGCTTGTCTCTGTTTCCTGACGTCTGGGCTCCTTGGACTCTGTGGTTCACACCATCTGAAGGCTCACTCACCCCCATATCTGTCTGTTGGCTGAGAGCTGCACCTGGGACTTTGGCCAGAACATCTCTCCATGGTTTCTCCCTATGGCTGGGGCTTCCTCTAACACGGAGGCTGGGTTCCCAGTAGAAACAGCCAAGCAGAAGCTGGACCCCAGCCTCAGAAATTAAAAAGCATCCTTCCCATCATTCTCTACTGGTTGTAATATCATAGCCTGTTTACATTCAAGAGGAAGGAAATAGAATTCTCTGCTTGATGGGGAATGGCCAAGTACTGGAATAGTGTGTGGGACCCAGAATATTACTATGGCCGAGTTTTGGAAATACAGTTTGCCACAGTGGCCTGCATGATGGGGGCTGGGCTGTTTCTCTGCCTCATCTCTTTCCCCAGAGAACGTCTCCTCCAGATGTTGCTGGAGTAGTCAGGTGTGCTGCTGCCCTAGGACTTTTAGACTGCTTGGTCCTTCTACCCGCCCTGCTCTTCCCAGGAAGGCTGCTCTGTGCTCCCCCTGCCCTCTTCATGCTTTTACTCAGATGTCACCTTCCCAATGATGCCCCACCCCTCTGCAGCCCCATTCTGATCCCCTTCTCTTGCTTTGTAGCACTTACAACCTCCTGGTACTCTATGGGACATAAAATTCGTTACTACCTGTCCCTACCAGAATGAAGCTTTACAAAGGCAGGCATCTTTATTGCTTCTGTTTACAGGTTTATCCCAAGGTCTTATCATGGTGTGCGGCATACAAAAATATGTTCTGGGTGTGAAACAGGGCACTTCTGGTTGGGACATTCTGAATGTGTAGTCCTTGCTCCAGATAAACCAGGGAACAGGTCTCAGCGGCACGGAGCCATGTCCCCACACTCCCCAGGCTAGCGCAGTACCCAACGCACTGTAGGTGCTGAAAATATACATTTGGAGAAAAAAAAGTAGCACAACTTCACTTGTAAAGGAGGCTGACCCAAGTCAACTAGATTAAGGGACCCACTTAAAGAGTTGCTTTCACTGGGTACATTTCTGTTTTTATCTGTTACGAACTGATGAACCAGAACTTCTGTTTTAATTTCTGCATCCATATTTGGTTTCTTTATGAGGAATTTCAAGGTCCCTTTTCCAGTTCCAACTATACTGCCATGTCTCTTACCCTAACACGCACATGGTGACAAAACAGGGTCCTGAGAGCCCCCTTGGCAGAGGCTCAGGGCAGTGACTCAAACAGCGTGGATTTTGCTCCCCACACACCCCAATGTCAATGCATGAATTGCCTCTGAGAATAGAGGTCGGAATAAAAACACTAATAAACTCCACGGTGGTGATAATAGTGGTCAGGGTAGAAATGGCAGCAACATCGCTAATTACAGCCATTGTCTGATGGGGACTGCTCTGATGCCATCTGCTCTCCTGGGCACTTCATCGTCCCCTCTCAGTCAGTGATCAGCTTGAGAGGATGGCATTTTCTTTCTCCAGAGGAGGAAACAGAGGCTATCAGGACTTGTTCAGAATGCACCAAATCTCTCTCTCGCTCTTTAACATAAAAATATTTATATAGTAAAACAGCATGAGTTCCCCCTCTTATTCCCTCTGTTTAAAAAAAAGTGACAATGTCAAATCAGCATTTTGATTTTTTTAAGAAGATTTTATTTATTTATTCATGTGAGACAGAGAGAGAGAGAGAGGCAGAGGGAGAAGCAGGCTCCTCGCCCATCCTGGGATCACGATCTGAGCCTAAGGCAGATGCTTAACCGACTGAGCCACCCAGGCACCCAACATTTTGATTTTTTTTTAACCTATTAAGAGGGAAAAAAATTAACATTTTCTTCATGTACAAAAGACCAAATGTCTTTTTATGAGTAAAGGGCCTCTTTGATCCATGGGGGCACCACAAATCATCAATTCCTCCACCTTTGGTGATTATGAGGCTCTGAGTTAATCGCTAGGGGCTACGGACCTCCCAGCTTTGGAAACTGAGTCACTGAAGTCAACTGAACTCAAGTCCTGTTGGGATCCCGTTTCCATGTGGGTCTCAGTGGAAAGGTCTGCAGTTCCCTGCTCCTGTACCGGTGAGCTTCTGGTTCATCCCTAGGATGGGAGCTGCTTCCCACTTGGATATTTTTTTTCATCCTCTGCCACCAAGCTCTTGGCTACCAGATGGGAAAGATGAAAGGCACAGAGAGCAGCGGCGTCCACGCCCAACATCCAGGGAGCTTCCTTGGGAAGCACAGTGCCCAGGTGGAGGCGCTGGGGGGCCTCACCACATTTCCAGCACCTTCCTCCAGGCAGCCCTCACCCTACCCCGCCCCGTGAACTCGCCTGCTTTCCACACCAGGGAGGCGATCATTACTACCGGTCCGACAGTGATCCTTAGGTGTTTGGCTTGTAGTGGAGCACTCCTGGGTTTTGTTCTGTCTTTGCATCAACTTTGGATTTTTGTTTTTGCAGAAATGAGTGTGAAGGAGAGTGCTCTGAAGTACATGGAGATGCTCGAGGATAAGCTGCGTAGGTAAGGATCAGAATGTCTTCGTGACTGACGCTGCTGTGTGCCCGGGTTCTTGACTGGAACAGAATTTAGTGAACGCAATGAGAAAGGCTAGCCAGTTTCTGTAATAAGTGAACAAAGAAAAACACACAAAAAGGAGTCCTTTGAATTCCGTGACATGGTTCATGCAGGTGCCATATAAACACCCTCCCTCTCCCCAACCTGATTCTTTTCTCCTCTTTATAGAAGGTAATAGGTGACGATGTTGAGAAGTGTCTGGGCGAGATCACAAGTTAGTTTTCACGTTCCATAAGACGAATCTTCTTTGCCATTTTAAATTCCGAATTCATGCCTTGGTCTGTTTTTTCCTTTTTTCCTTTTTTCTTTTTCAAACTCTGAAGTGGGTCTTACGGATTTTGACCCAGCTTATATGTGTTTTGGAACAATATAAAAAAATTGCACATCTTAGGTTCTGTTTTGAATCCCAAATCAAAACCAGCGTGAAAATTCGCGGTTGCCTTTTTTTTTTTTAAACCCAATTAGTAATTCAGATTGGAGAAACATTATGGATGTTGTGGCATGTCAAGATGTTTCTCATTTTTGTGGATGTGTGCTCATGAAAATAAATCCCAGCCACCAGGATCTGTTCCTAATTAAGGAAACAAGTATGAGAATGTAATGTGTACTTTCTTCCCTGGGAGTCATTTAGCTTTATGGACTGTTTTTGCTACTCTTCTGGAATTGTTAAATAACAATTTAACTAGGCTATGCCTTCAACCTTTATGGGCTCAGATGATGCCATTGGCTAAAATGCTTGTCCTTTAAGGGATACGGAGATGGGATGCTCTGCTGAGTTCTGCTCTGTGGGGCAGGGAAGGTACTGTGGGATTTGTTCTAAAGCTTGCAAAGCAAGTTCTTCCAACCATTCACTGCGTATTTCCCTGCCTCCGGCGCCGTAGACACGGAGAGGAACCATGAGAAAGGTGGACCGTAGATAGTGTGGGGTAAGAAGGGCATGCAGGAAGGAGCATCCTCCAAAGAATGTTCCCTCTCCTTCGAAAGTAGGACACTCATCTGGGTCAGGTGCTCTGCTCTGAGTCCATCCTCCCCTTCTCCCATGGGTGCTCAGGTAGGTTTCAGCATCTCCCTGTTGACCTTATCCAGCTAACATTTTTAGCCACGAGCACCGCACACACCACATGTTCCACTGGGATGCTGGTCGGCAGGTCGGAGGTGAAGGAACTTGGGCATCGGTGGAAAGACACCCCTTGAGAACGAGGCTCTACAGCTTATCCCACTACCTGACTTCCAGTAAACATTCTCTGTCTGCCTCCTTAGCAGTAAGTTGAAGGACAGGTACCCGCCCCCTGGAGTCGGTGTGGATTTTAATAAGCAGCAGAGATAAATCCGCTACCTAGTGGGCAGTCAGCAAACATTCGTTCCCTTCGCTTCCTGCTGCTTCTGGTCTTCGATCTCCTCTTCATCGAACGGAGTGAACAGTCCTGCCCAGGACTCATTCATTTCCCTCCACGCCAGCCCCTCCTGCCGGGTGTCCAGCCCAGAGAACGGTCCATCACCTGCTTAGACGGGCCCTTGCACCTGGCTGCCTGGGTGGCACATAGGCGCCCCTCCCCCAGCCCTCGCCTCCTGCTCTTGGTCACCGAGTTCTGCCAGGCTGGCCTCTTGGGTGCCCTCGAGCCCTCCCACCTGCCCCTGCTCCTGTGGGTCTGTCTCCTCTCGCACTGAACCACCATAAGAGCAGATTTTTATGTTTTTCTGCCTTGTGTTGCCCTTCCCACTCCACTCTCCAGGTGGTCTTGAGTGAGCATGTTAAAGTACGAATTTGGTCATCGCCATCGTCCTAAGGATAAAGCCCAAACGTCTTACCTCGGCTCCTTGCGCTCTTCCATGTGGCCTCTGTGTGTCTATCAGTGTCGCTGTCACCACCCTGCCGCCTCCTACTCACTCGCACAGGTTCTTGTGTGTTTCCCAAGGCCACTGCGTGTTTTCTCCTGTGGAGAGACTAGTGGAGACAGCGGAGTGGTCAAGGGTTGTTATCCAGGGAAGTATCCAGGTGAGCCATGGAAAATTACTGACAGTAGGTCATGTTGACCTGGAAAGATGGCGGTTTCCTGCAGCTCAACCCAATATTTAGGGATTTGGAGTCACTTCAGGAGGGTCAGATGCTCTCGCCGGAGCCTGGCCTGTGTCCTCCCGGTGGCACACTCCCTCTCACCGTTCCCCTTGCATGTGCCCCAGTGGCTGCTGCCAGCTCCGCCCCCAATGGCCCCACATCTGTCTCTGTCTTTTCACCCTTCACGCTTTCGCTGTGCCCTCTTCGGAGCCTCCCATGACTCCCCAAGACTGAGAAATGTCCTTGCCCTGAATTCTCTTCACTTTCAAAATGCGGAACGAGCGATACTGGTCATGTCTGTCTTGTTGAGCGTGTATCCTCTGTGATTTGATGGTACAGAGCAGTGTAAGGGTATCCAACAAATGATGAGTCCATGGTTGAGTGAACGCGACTAATTCATAGCCCCCCACTCCAGTCCCTTTTTGCATCATCTTCTGCCTCCCTCCCTCCCTGCCCTTCTGGTCACGTGGCTGCTAGAATCGCATGCACTCATCACTCAGGGTCCGCCAACAGCCTCAAATGACCAGAGTGGTGGCTGACCCATCCTACAGCCAACTTCCTGAGGACCCTTTCCTTTGCTGTTTGAAGCTGTAAGAGATCTGGTGCAGATGTGCTTGAACTGGTGTGGTTAGAAACACTGGGATTGGAGGGAAGGCAGTAGGCTGTAGGCAGAGTTGCAGACAGAGGCTAGGTGAGCCTTAAGGTGTGTGCAGGGAGCTTTACCGCTGCCTCAGAGCAGGAGGCCAGACTGGATGCCCTGGGAAGGGTGGGAATGGTCAGCGCCGCCCCCTCCCCCGCCACCCACGATGGAACTGTCCTCCCCACCGACCCAGGGAGGAAGGGTCATATGATCCCATCACAGTCCCAGTTCTAACATGAGAACCAACATCTTCAAACACAAACCCTGTTTTTTTGCACCGAAGAGTTTGCATCATGCTGGGGGCTCAGTGAATACTGCGGGATATAGACCAGCGCAAGGCGAGAGGCCGGTGGAAGTCTTTGTTGCTTACTCGCCTATGGCCTCTCTTGGTCTTCCGGGGATTTCAAAAGGAAGTGTCTGAGAACTGAAAAGAATGTTCATTTCCCCCTTTGAGTGTACGGAGGACACAATCTATGATCTGTGCTTTAGCGAGATTTCGATCGCGCCAGTCGTGGTTTGAGAGACAAATCTAAGGGACAGCAATACTTTTGTTACTATCTCAGCACACACTGAGACAGGCTGGTGGACTCAACGTCCCACTCTCCATCAAGAAAGCCAAGGGAATTAGGAATTAGGAAGCATCTGATCCCATTAGCAGTTCACGGTGATACCAGCATGGGACAAAACAAAGCAGGCAACAGGGGCTTTTAGTCTATATTTAAACAAAGATTTGCCTTTTAACGGTCCGAGTTCAATTAAAAAAAAAAAGAGAAAAGAAATTCTCTTCTGAATTTGAATGTTTATAAAAATTCACAAAGTTTTTTTCCCCAAAACTTGTTTTTTGATCATGGCTTTATTTGCTATCAAACTATGTTAAAGCTGGAAAATAGTGAAGGCGCTTACATCATTATGTTGTTTTACACGCTTAGGATACCTAGTCAGTCGAGTGTGATTGTCAACAGATAAATAGTAAAATCATGTATCTGTAAATTACACTCATAAACTCCATTTCATTTAACACACATGAGAATAATATATAGACATATATATAAATATACACGTACATGCACACACACACATATATAAACACACAAATTTGCAATAGAAAAATAAATACATTTCTTAGTTTTTCTATTTATTTTGAAAATTCTCTTTTAGCAACAATGCATTGACTGGAAGTCTATGAATCAGAGCGGGGGGTCACATTCTCTCCTTTAATATCTAATCTTCCTATTAGGGGATGACGTAGTACTAGGGAGAATATGGCTGACCATTTCTCTATGTCAGCGAAAGGCAGACATTAACATGCAAATGCACCTTGTTCTCCAGAAGAAAATGAACGGATTAAAAAATAATAATAATAATAGTCTGAGTTATAAGTCGGATACATGTATGTCCCTGTTTCTCCTCCTGCAGACAAGACACTACTTGAGCATTTTTCCTTGCTCAGTTTTTTCCAGGATGTTCCTCCTTCCTTCTCTTCGCTGGACGGGCCAGAGGGTGGCTGCCCCCAGGATCACAGGGCCAGGCCCAGTCCCTTGCGGCTTTCCTTTCCGTTCCCACGGCCCCCGCCTCTGACTTGGGAGCCCTCCCTCCCCAGCCCCTGGGTGCGCCTTTCTCCTCGAGGCTCAGCACAATACCCCTTCTCTATAAAGCTTATGGCCTTCTCGTGCTTCCTTCTTGGCAATCACAGTGGCAGTGACTTAGGACAATTTGTTGCAATGATTTCTGTCTGATTCTATTAGACTGTGAGGTCCTGGAGAATGGCTTCCATGCCGTACATGTTTTGTATTCCAAGGGACTGGTACGCTGTGTGGCATGTGGTAAACATCCAGGAAAATTACAGTTACTGCAGGAATGAATGGCTGAATAGCAATTTTATCTTGATACTTTATTTTCAACTATTAGATGCAAAAAGTTAAAGCAGCCTAAGGAGGTACAATGCCGCAGAAATCCTTTTGTCTTGCCATCAGATCTTAATGGTATATACCAGAATAGAACAGCAACAACAGATCTACTCTCAAAGAGCTTTCCTCACTTTTTCTTGCTCCCTCAGGGTTATTGTCTCCAGAGGTTGAGAGTTAAGGGTGCTATTTTGGGCTGGATGATTTTCCCTTATGGCCAAATCTTGCTTTAATTTCCTTTGTCTCCATTATTACATCTTCTCTGTTAGCTGTCTTACCCGAAGACTCAAAAGAAATATTCAAAAGTTGTATAGATGGGTTGCATCTTTTACTGACCATATGTTCT